CGGCTCCTCCACCATTACACCGTGGGTTCAAATCTCTCAGGAATCCAATCGGAAACTGCGCCGCCATTTGCGTAACTGATCAGCGCCGATTTCGTTCGGGGCAGCCAATCTTCCCACGCGCTCTGCCATCCATCTGGGGTGTCTGGGGCGCTGGCAGCCGCGCGTGTCTGCGACCGGCACCGCCCCGGGTCCCGAGGGTGGATACTGGATACTGAGAAGGGCAGGGACTGTGGTGGATGAGAGGAGCTACGGGCAACACACGGGAAGGACAGGACGACGGACGAACGGATAGGAAATGACAATGTGATGAGCGCGCGTCGAAAGGCAGGTGGAAGTTTGGGTGAAAGGGGAAGGTGGCGAGGAGAAGCAGAACCCTGTCGGATGTAAAGTAATTACAACATAACAGATGCATTGCAGGGGAGGAATAATGGGACAGAAAACAGCACATTGACGACTATGTAGACATGACGCCCCTGGCCCCAAGAAGGAAAACAGCAATGTAGCGGTGTATCCCAAGCACCACGGTGCGCCCCGTTACTGAGACCTAAACACCTGACCCACCCAGCCGCCGTCACCCGCCCGCCTTTCCGTCACCACAGCCCACCCGGCCCGTCATTGGAGAGCGCCGCCAGCGCCTCAGACCGTCGGCAAAAACGGCGTCTGAGCGGCGGGCGGCGCGGCGGCTGGGCCCGCCGGCACCGACCCCTGACCCGGCGAGCGTTCACCCGCCGCCAGCAGAGACGGCAGTGCAGAGTGGTCAGAGAATTCAATGGCGGCGGTGGTTGTACCGAGGTGGACGACACAGGACATGGAAGGACGGGGCTGGATGATGGAAGGGATACGCAAATACACACTACAGTCAAGTACAAGCAGCATTTACACCATTCCCATAGCTACCAAACGTGACTAAGCCGGGATGCGTGCGTGCAGCTTGGACATCAATAACAACTCCGATTCACCAAAACAGACACATCCAGTCCCACACATGCATACGATATATGGCAAAGGACGCAGGCAACCCAGGTATAGCTCACTAACCTTTGACGACCTGGAGAGCTCGAGGTACCAGAACTTGACGTGCCGGTTGCCGACGGTGACGAAGTAACTGCCGTTCTCGGCGAACGACACCGCCTTGACGCGAGAGCTGACCTTGTTGGACGCCACCTTGACGTTCCGCTGCCAGTCCCACACGTTGACAATCATGTCGTGTTGGAAGCCCACCGACACCACGTACTTGTTGCCCGGAGAGAAGCCCTGTAAAGGAGCAGAAGCATGGTGTTAGTCTGTGGCAGGTCGCAGGCACAATCATCGCAATAAGCTGCGATGGTTTAGGAAAGGTGGCAATATACCGAAAAGGGAATCTAACAAGCCGTATCAAAATATTTTGTTGTGTTTTTCATTACATTTCTCTCGTCAGTCAGCGCTCGAATCGACCCCACGAGGCACCGCATCGCCTCAGTGGAGCGCTAACCATCGTTTAGCTGGATAACACCTATTACCCGACCGCAGGCCCATCTCCCGGGGCAGCGGTGCGTGACCCAGATGACGTCATCAGTGACGTCACGGTCCAGCGGACCACCCGACGCCGTGGGTCGACCAATGTATGCCACATCAGTCGTCAATGAAGGTCAACTACCGGTGGCGCGTCACGCATACGCCCAGCAGGAGTGGGCGATCATCGCGGTCAGACCCACTGAAGGCAACTCACACTATTGAAACTGTACCTACCGATCGCGGCACATCATGTAAACTTTTACATATCTTCATACCTACAGTTCCGGTGGATCACAATCAGCTCGACCATCCCTGACACTGGCACCAGCCCACGCACCAATTGCACCATGTCGTGCCCCGAGTCCCGCGTGCTAATGGCAGCGGGGGCGGCGGTGGGAGTCTGATCTGCCCGGTCAAGGCCGGCGCACAGACACCACAGAGATCGCTGATCTGTTGCCGACCCTGTGCGCTGGGTGGACCGCCCGACCGGCCTCCCTCCGGCCCCAATTTAATGAGACGATCCGTGTCGAACAGCATGTAATTGGCGGGCGTTCGATTCGATACGAAACTATATTCTGTAAAATATTATGACGGTCCATCTGATGGCGAATGGTGAATAGCTCCAGTATACGGTTTACACAGCACACCTGCCACTCTTTCAGTAGGCCAAAAAGAAAATGTTCGGCGACTATTTGTCGCAAGTCAAGGCAGCCTTAAAAGAGACTTATCCCAATGTCTCATTTTGCGTCTACACTTGGTTACCGAAAATCACCTAATTGTGTCGTGTCGTCCCAGCTCGTACCGTGCCACGTCATTTCAGCTCTCCGTATTCTTGTCTCGGTAACCTTGCCATACCATACTGTCCCATTCCGTGCAGGACCACCTCTTTTCGACCGCAGGCAAATCTCGGAAACCATAGAATACAGCCCCGCCCCGATCCGTGCCGAGCCGTGTCCGCCGGAGGCGTGTCCCGGTAACCGAGCCGGCGTGTCCGCCGGACACACGAGCACGTGACTGAGCATACGCACGGCGCCGGCCGGCCGGGCCGACCCCGTGACCTCCGGAGGAACCGTGACCGGCGGCCGCCTCTCGGGAGAGGGGAGAGAGGGAGAGGGAGGCAGAGTACACGTATGCCACTCTCGACTCACCGCACGGGCTGAGGCATAGAGCAGCGGTGCCGAGGAACAGTCTAGCGAGTAGATAATCGGCCCGCGCCTTCATTGCACTGGATAAACCGGGCTAAGACCTACTTCTGACACAAAGCAAGCCTTTGATGACTAATGACACTGTTATGGTCGATTCCGGTGGTTAATTTAGCACTGTCGCGGCGATTTATCGGGAGCGGCCGATTACCCTCGAAACACAATGGCGGCGACCATGGAACTGATTACCCTCGAAACACAATGGCGGCGACCATGGAACTGTTTATTGTTTCTGTGCTTCCATATGACCGGGGGGTGATACCAAATGAAGGGAAGGGAAAACGTGCCCCATCACAACAGACACACCCCTAAAATTTCTAGCCTTTCGGGTGTGTGTTATTTATAGAGCTGAGTTATTAGCCGTAAATTAATTACGTCGAGGCCAGGAACCACCCATTTCCGTTCGCAGCCGCCGACCGGTCGGCTCCGCCCCCCAGTGGCTCCCAGCAGCGGTGTTACACCACAGGCGGGGCGCCGTTGCATCACAGGGCTCCCGGGGAGAAACCGCCGGGAGTTGCAGCGTCAGCTGCAAGGCCGCGCCGAGAGCGGACGATGACCAGCGGCCGCCCTTGTCCAGTACAGCTGTGGAGGGGCTGGGCTGGGAGGCAGTTCTTACTTTTTAGAATGTCACACGACACATGGCGGCACGCTGCCCTATGGATGAAGCGTCACCAACGACCTGACCTCGACTTCTTCCCGCTCATTCATGGCTCCAGCCTTCTGCCCTCCAGCTTGATCTCGACGCCCGCCTACGGCTGAGCTGGGCTTCCCGTCTCCGCTCCACACAACCACCGAGAGACGTGCTCCACCGGCGTGTTGTAGCTTGCGAGAGACGTGCTTGACAGACGTGCTCGACTATCGTGCCCACACCCCAAATGACAGCAACGCCACAGTCCCGTCACCTCTCTCCAGACATTCACAATTGCTCGCCGCCGACACATCAGCACTCTGCATTGAGTGAGACCGTTTCCGGCTGTGCCACCCGTCAGGTCACACCAGGGCACAGGTCAGGTGACACCCGCCCCCGGTGACCTGTGCTCCGTTCTTCCCAGAGGCCGGTGCAGGGCCGCCCACGGAGCACGGCAGGGCGGGACGCAGAGGTCAGGTCGGACCGGGAAGGTCAGAGCAGAGGTGTGCCGCGCCAACCGCCAGTGAAAGTGGCTGTCAGAGCTGCTTTACATGACGCATGCCAGCCACTACATGGCAAGCGTTTATCTATGAGGGCTTTATCTTCAGAGGACTCGTGGCAAGCGGTCTGGTTCTCTGGAGCCACCGGACAGCACAGCGAGGTAACCAATCAAGGCGACCGGCACGCGTCCATTTGCTATATATCTACTCGCATCAAATCCATAGTATGTCCAAACACCAGCTGCAAACGGTTGCTCCTAATTTCGACACACATACGAACAAGATACTTCGTGACAAACCACTTTATTGTCTTCTACATCGAATCAACACTCAAGATATGTTCGTGACAAACCACTTTGTTGTCTTTTATATCGACATCAACACTACCAAGTGTAACAAGATCCCCAAAATAGGCCACGGACCCGACTGCGCAGAAGGAGAGGGCAGGGCACGGTGGAGACACGTCACGTTCACACTTGCAAGTTGCACAGATGCAGGTGTTTGTGCGTCACCCTCAACAACTCAACACCTGTTGAGACCCACAGTATTGAAACGGTGCAGTCGATAGGACCCGTGAATGGCGGCGGAAAACGGCAAGGTCTCGGGCAAGGCCGTGACGCGACCGATAGAGTCCCGCTGGCGACGTCACGTGTCACGGAGCGGTGTCATGTGTGGCGCGTGCGGGCGGCGGCCGGCCTCCACTGATAGGTGCGCGCCGGCGGGGTCTTTGTCCGGGGGTGTCGTTTCGAGGACAGCGGACGCCAACCCGGCGCCACGATACTGATTGTGAGTTACCTTAGACTGTCAGTTTGGGCCGGCCTTGACCCCTATTAGTGATGGGAAATTTAACAGTCAAATGCGATCCGCAGGAGAGATAATAGGTGGATTATGTCCTACCCTTCTATCTTCTCCGAAAGGCGAAGTAGCGAAAACCAGAAAAAACCAGTAGGCGGCAGCGGCTTAACGCCGACACTTCACCAGAACAGAATCGATCCCACAAGTCAATGCCACTCAAACGGACATCACATGTTCACGTAGGATCGATTGGCGAACAGTGTGACTTCTGGTCGGGTCAGACCACGGCTGAGGTCGAGATCCACTGAGCCTTCCACGGCAGCCCACTGCACGTTGGGACGAGAGGCCTGAACGGGACAGTCAACCGAGGTCAGTGCCGCCGACCTCCCCTTCCCCGACGGAACGGTGGGAACCGGAGCGTTCCGGGCCACGGAACGGGAGTTGAAGGGAGAGAAGGGATGAAGAGATAGGGTACGTGTCGGACCCGAGGCCGTGACATATCAGCACTTGTCTGGGCTAGGCTCCCAGGCCACCGGCCCTGAAGCGTGGACGGCGGGTCAGGCTCCACGGCACTGTCAGCGACTTCCGTGGCTGGTCCGACCCATCAAACAGACCGAAATGAGTCAGTGACCGTCCTGAGCGACCCTTTTGGGCCAGTCAGCCTTCCAGTAGCCAAGCGTAACCCCATGGGAGTGACCTGCCAGTTTCATTGTTCTCAGACCCAACCCCCTGGCAGCACCTTTCTTGCTTCGCTGGTGATTAAAGCGCAACAACCAAAACATTGTCGATAGGAGTGTCACATGTTTCACAATCAGCTTTTTTATTCCAAAGCATATCACTTAACCATTTTTGACACGCAGATCTCGCGCCCATCTGACGTTTTTAAGCTGGCGCCCATCAGTCCACGCCAGCCGTTAATGTATCTGTAATTGTCTGTATGTGTGTCGTAATGGCTCGTCTCTTCGGAGGACGGCGACTGGCCTCGTGGCTGGGACAGTTGACTGACAGCTGGTCAGGAGAGGTGTTCGGGTGCGGTCTGACGGGGCAGACTCTGACGGTCAGACCCAGGACTCCCAGGGGTGTGGCTTATGAAGGGCTTCAAGATGCTCTCCAATGCGTGCTATGTTTGTAGGCCAAACCGAACATTCTACCACATTATTCTGGCACGTTCTGAGTTCTGACTACATTTCAATACTTGCATGTTAGATTGTTAGCACAAGTGCTCGCCTTTCACTCCGCATAGTCACGCAATTTGACAAAAAAAAATCTGTCTTAGCATATGGCTCCCACTTCGCCTATCTGCACATTCCGTGATGTTAGATAAATTCGGAAATAGTTGATCACGGAATAAACCCGAATGTTACAGATCCTGCATACACTTGATAAAATGCTCAAAGAATAGATCTGACCATTCCGTTTCTTAAAATAGCAACAAATGTTGATATGATTTGGTTTACGCTGTTTGCGCCTGACATGCTGTGTTGACACGCGAGTTACTGTGGTTGTGACTTTTATCGTGTCACGAATATCTGTTGTAGCTGCAATCGTCCCCGTGAACCACACCCAGGGGCAGCACGTATCAGACCACCGACCTCCAGCGTAAATATAAACACAGCATTTCTTCAGTGAGCTCCC